GGGGGCCATTCCCGGATCTGGGATGATCTGCTGTGCCGGTTGGGTGAATCGCGCCACGACTTGCAGAGCACGAAGCGAGTTGTGTGCTGCTGCAAGCCTGGCCTCTCAAACAATGCTCCAGTGGCCTTGTGTCTGTCAGACTCAAGAACACAAGTCCCATGTCGACAGGCGTCAGCTGATCCTACAGCTGCACCCCACGCTTGACACTGTGACGCGCTTCTTCCGGCGGCGGATCTTGGAAACCTGCTTAATGGTTCACGTTTGTGGCAACCCATACAGAGGCAAGAAACTGTAGCCGCACTGAACTACCCAACCCTGTAACCTGCGCAAACTTCACTGCAGCAGCCCAGGGCAGCATCGCCCTGGAAGTTCAAGAACTTGATTCCACGGACTCTCCAAGACTTTGCTGATGCAACACCCAGATCTGAGCCCAACACCCAAGCAAAGCCCCCTCTACGCTGGCCTGAAAGGAAACGCCACGAAGCACAGTCCTACATTGGGGGAATTGTGGCGATCGGCTAACTGCGAGTTTGCGGAGCTCGGAGTCCTGGCTGAAAGCCTGCGACCTGCCTTTAACGCGGCGGGTGTCAACATGCAGCCGGCTGCTCGAGAACGGGTTCAGGCTGTTCAGCAGTGCCCAGTCCTGCTCCCAGAGACCTCCAGCATCAATCGTGCACCAAGTAGCAGCAACGTCCGCAACGTTGCTTCGAAGACTTGCAAGGCCGGGTGAGCGGCATGTGCCGTAGCAGATTCCTGGGCGAAAACTAAACTTTTTGGTGTGGGCTGCCTTGCGAATCGAAAGCTGGCACGAGCATCCTTCGGAGGTGATACCGTCCCAAACAGAAACACCTTTCCACACCTCAAGGACGCGGCAACACGAATCTTAGCCATGTTCAAGCCAACAGCATGCTAAAGGCATGGTACAGAGCCCGTGAGCGCCCTTACATGCCGCACATCTTACACTGGTCCCACCAGAGCCCCAAGATCCCCGCAACCCGACCCGGAACGACGCACATCGGGCGATGCTTGCGTGCGCAGAGGCCCCTCAAACTTCAGCTGCACCTGCCAGGGCTCGACCTAACAGACTTTCAGAAACTCTTCGAAGACCCTCCTTGACTTTGCCCCTGCCCCGAATGCCCCGATACCTCTTTTATGAAGTAACAGCAATGTCTCCCCGCTTTCGCTGGTTGTGAAACGCGAAGCCGAGTACAGGAGCCTGCCAGCAACCTTCCCAAAGGTTGGAGAACTCCAACGTACAGCAAAGAATGAAACGCCTAGGAGAACTGGTGGTGGAAGGAGGAAAACACTCTTTTCAAATCTCTAACATAACTAGCAAGTGCCGACTAAAGTTTGCAAAATAGCATTCGCACTCCAAAGCAGTGAACTTGAATCAAGGAACACTTACAATCCCGCGGGCGGTACAGTTGGAATGTGCAGCCAAGAGCAGCCAAGAAGTTGTAAATAATGAACACGAAGTTGCGAAGAGTCCGATTTTTTTTAGCAGATGGGAGGTCCTGACTCTCTCGATCTGACGCGATTGGGAAGGGGCCATAATGGCAATCAGATGTGCAACAGGTGAGAGGGGGTGGTAATGACATCCTGTTTTCGAAGATCGTGGCCGGTGACTTGTCTCATGTTGATGCTGCCATGCACCTTCACTCTGCTACTCTGGATGCTGCAGCTCTCTGTGGTGATGTTCGCTCCAACAAGCGGCTAGGCTTGATGTTGCAGGTGTGCCTCGTGATGTTTGCGAGAAGCCTACGTTTGCTTGTTTTCTTGGGGGCGGGGGGATCGTGGGGGATAATGACGTCCCGTTTCTTGCCATTTCTTATCATACCATATCAAAGCGCATCACATCATAGCATTGCATGTCGAATCATGGCACGTCATGCAATGTCATGCCAAGTCACATCAAGCCATGGCAGATCATGCCCTGACATATCACTCTCTTTGCATATCATATCACATTTTATCGCGACTTGTCATACGAAGGGTTGCTTCACTAGCTTCACAATCCCATGATGGATCTTGTTTCACGTGACACCCGAGGTACTTTCGGTCTCTTAAGCAATGCTACTTTCAGTCTACAACTTCCCGACTAACAGCATCGCCAGGCCGCAAGCGCGACTAGCGTGTCCAAAACTCGCGTTATAAGCGATTCCAGATCTTAAACACACAAAAAGAAAAAAAAAACATGCCATCAAATACATCCAGCTTTACTACCAGAAGAGGAAGCACAGCAAGAAAGGCTGTTGGATGCGGTTGGGTTGGCTCTCGGAGGCGGCGGGAGTTACCAGGGCGCGGGAGAGCTGTCACCATGACCCACTCCTGGGAACAACAGGGTTTAGGGTTTAGGGTTTAGCTCGAAGCAGAGATAACTTCGTGCATGGTGCCACCACTGACGCGTGATCCTGAAATGTCACGGAGTCGCTCTGGCGTACATAGATGTGGTGGCAGTCTTTGAAAAACGGCACAACACTTTCTCTGAAAAAAGTTTTCGGAAAGGAATAAAAAAACTGCTTGATCAGTGTAAGCCTGTAGTTTTGCACAAGACCGTTGCTGGCGACTTGGGCACGAAGGCAGCAGGGTTTTGCTTTTGTTCGCAAAGAGCAGTGCTCGACTCGGTGTGTTAGACAGGGGCTGCTACCGCTACCGGTGGCAGCTGTGCAGCCATGATAAAATGCCCAATCCTGAACCCCTGCTTGATCAGTTCAAACCCTATGCCTACGTCCGGCACCTGTGTAACAGCAGGCGTTCTGTCAGGTCGGCGACAACGGCAGAGAGTACCTGCGGCAGAACTGCGCGGAATTCCCGCTTTGGGCTTCGGGCTCCATCTACATCTCCAGCTTTTTGAAGACTCCCTCGACCCCTTTCACCCAAAGGTGCCCAGAAAGGTAAAGCTTCGCGTTCACAGTTCTCTGCAGCAAAACTCATCGATGAATCTCATCTATGATGCACCCAGCCTCGCAAGCTTCATCTCACCCTGCATCCAGCCGGGAAGCGCCATCGAGGAAGGCTCGAACTATCACAGTCGTATTATTGTAGGGTTTAGAGTAATAAGGAACCCAACAGAATATTGATAATTATCTAAGCAATTGTATAGGTAATGATTAAGGACCCTACATTATCGTACCCTTATAGATTATAGATCCCTTATAGTATCCCTAAAGGCTCCTAATTATACTACATAGGTAATTAATTCGGCCCCTATATTGGGCTCTTCCCTCGGCCAGCTTCACCCAGCGCTGCTGACCTTCGTCTCTACTGCATTCCTTCCAGACTTTTAAAGGTGTAGGATTTAGGATTTAGGGCCTTGAAGCTAAGGGTTAGGGCTTACTGTAAGGGTTTTTTGGGGCAGATAGGATTTAGGATTTCAGATTTAAGGTTGAGATTTAGGGATGGGGCGGATAGTTTTGCAGTGCCGTATTGCTACTTCATGCAAGCTAGGGGACATGTGCGCAAGCTGCAGATGTTGCGTCAAGACCTCAGGCTGCAATCACAAGTTGAACAAATCCAAGGGCCAAAAGGTATTTTGGGCTTGAACTGAATTGAATACTCTCGCACCCGGCTGCCAGAAACTCTCTCGCTTACGGAACGTCCCTTCACATATTCGAATCGTCTTGGGGCTGGAGCCCAACTACAAGTAGCATCACAAGACGAACGACAGCGCGTCCGGCTACGAAAGCTGCAAAAGGCACAATCATCTCAATCTTTATCTTACGTCTGTGCGCCATGAACTTAACCGCCGGCACTCACAGAATCTCGCAGACAGCCCAGCAGACGACAACTCTCCGTGCTACTGTTGGTTTCTCTCGCACTGTCTGTCAGTCACTGAATGCTTGTCGATCAAAAGAATGGTTGAAGAGTCTGCTTCACTATGCCGAGGGCGAAGCCTCCCAGTGACGTGGCACAGACTTTCCACACATCCCGCTTTGCGCCCAAAAAACCCAAATTTTGGAAGAAACCCTGCAACCCCGAAGCCCCAAACAAAACCGCAGCCGACAACACTCAGAGCTGACTTCTTAGCTGACTTCTTTTCCCCGGTCGCCTCCTGGTTCTTCTGGCTCCGGTCGTCTGCCGTGCTCTGCAGTTGCACTCGGCGAGCGCGGGCTGAAGCAGATCCAGAAACTCCGGCGCCTGCGTGGCGCGAAAATCAAAGCGCTGCCACCTCCACGAGCTCCTCGGCCCCCTGCTCCGCACTCGCAAGCTGCATTTTGGACCCCGATGGGCGGATGGTCCGAGACAAAGCTCCAGAGATCGTGGAGAGGAGCGGTGAGAGGCGACTCGAAGTGCTCTTTGCTCCCCATCCGGTTCACCAGAATCAGCGCAGCACAGCCCTCCAAGCGTTAGCATTCTTTGGCCTCTATGAACACCTCCAAAGCTTTCGGGGCTCCACCTGAGATGCCGACATCGGGGCTTCCAGGCGCCCCTGGAGGTCTTCCACGCAAGCACCGCGTCGCCGCAGGCCCTGGCCTTAATGATCAAGCATTATGACAGAAACTACACCACTCGGCGCTCACGGCCGAAGAAGGGCTGTATAAGTCCTGAGCTTGGATCCTATTTTCTGTTTTCACTCCGAGGCGACCGCTCAGCTGCGCCAGATTGTCTTGAGCATTTTCGTGTGAGGTTGACCTTTGAAGGGCAATTCGTGCACAACTCATACTACGACATGGACAACCAAAAACCACTTAATTACTTAATATATGACTAGTTGTCCCTACCTGGCAACAGCACCTATTGCGGGCTACACAGCAGTGCCCTGATAACAAGGTGCCTCACGCCGCTGCGCATGAAATTGCAAGCTTTGCAAGGTTTTCTGTGTCTGTCCAAACTCTTTTAAACGTCTTTATAAAAGATGAAATGAACATGAAACACACACAGATCTATCTATCCATCCATGCATACATGCATGCAGATGTACCCGACTCGCCAGACTGTGAGTGCACGCAAATGGAGCACTGATTCTCCGATTTCCTTCACAAATCACATCGCCCGGCCTTTCAAGTCCGTCGCGGCAAAAAGCCGTAGCAATCTTGCCTAGCAGTGATGCCGTCATGCGGAAGTTGAATGGAAGATCACGGAGCCGAGGGTTGGGCTCGCTGGTGTCCTGGCGAAGTGAGGTCGATGAGGATTTGACGAGTTGCCACTCTCCAGCCTGCCAGCATCGGAGGCTAGGGCTAGGGAAGGAGCCAACAGAAAAGGCAGTCTGGGGCTCCGCGCTTCTTTTGAGTAGAGATATACGTCAATTTGATCAGGATCAACGTCTCGTAGGGCCTTAGACTTCGTCTGCTTGATGGCCTCGTGACTTGGGCAAATGTCGGGACAGGCAGCAACAGGAAACATGCCGAGGCCGGGTCGATCGCCAAGTCGTCCACATCATTGAGCTGCGCACCCTGTTTGAGCACCAGCGGCCATCAACTCCACATGATATGGTGTGGATGGCCTCACGAGACTGCACCTTGAACGCCCGCTCCAGCTCACCCTCGCCCTCTTGACGAGACCTTATCTGCGCAGAGGCGCTGCTCCAAAACGACCGGCAATCGGAATCCTCCTTGGGCGTCGGCTTGGCGGTGACCGTCCCATCCTGTGCGGCGAGTGGGTCAAAACTGCAGCAGACATGAACTGACAGCAAACTTGCAGAAACACTCCCAGCAAGGAACAGCCCCGCCCCGACCTCCCACCTTCGACCAGACGGCCCGCTGCGCCCCCACGGCGACATCACGCTGCTACAGGCTTGCGCTCCCGCTACTGACACTTGTTCTCACTGTCCTCGCGGATCGGCTCCCACACCCTACCCGAGTGCCCTCTACTAGGCAATGTAAAAGGAAGAGCTACGAGTCACAGCAACTTTCGCACAGCAGCCCCTCCGGCATAGCGAGCGCGAAGCCGAGAATCGTCGCGCGTCGTCGTCGCCGAGGCCGTCGTCGCCGCTGAAGCATTTACTCCCAACAGCGAGCAGATTCCGTGCCCCACAAAGTGGCCCCTCTTAGTGGGGTAGGATGCGGCCCGCGCGATGGGCAGCCGACACGGCGCGTCCCACCAGCTCGCGCCCAAGCACCGCATGCTGCTACGGATGCCTATTGATGCTGTCAAGACAGCATGCTCTCCTCGCCGCTCCAGTTACCGACAATTGCTTTCACACAGCACAGTCCTTGCAGATCAGCTCCCGCGCCCAGACGACGGTGGATGTCGCCGAGGCAGTGCCTGCAAAGCCCCGCAGGACGCCAAAGGTTAGTATCTCGTTCTGGCCAATCAACTCCTACAACGGCTGAGCAACTCGAATTTCGGACAGCTCTCTGCTCCCCCTTTCTCGGCTCTCCCAGCTCGCCCCCACACCGCTCCAGCTTCAAGTGATCTGGTGATGCCTGGTCTTGAACGAAATTTCAAACATCTAACAGTTTTGACCTTCCCTTTTGTCAGCTCCCGTACTCCCTCGTGCCTTCCGACCAATGTCGCCACAACACCCTCGCGTCCGAGTCGGATAGTGCAGGTGCAATGCTCTCCAAGAGCCGCTGCTTCTCCAGTGTTTGCAAAGCGCTCAGACTCAGCATTGTGGATGCCAAGTCGAAGGCGCGCTGTCGCAGGCACTGACGCACCCATATCATGTCTCTTCCGACCATGCTACATGTCTTGCGCGTCTCGTTTAGCCTCGACGCAAAACCTTGGTGCATTCCACGGATTTGGCTGATCACCGTGCCTGAAAAGTCCTCAATCTGTCTCGCAAAGCCATCGGTGAAGGTCTGTGCAACAACTCTCCGAGCCGCAGATCCAAAATTGCCTGCAAAGTCATGCCAGCGGACCGCAGGCAACTTGCTGGAAAGAGATATAAGAATGTTGCCTGCATGCGCATCATGGAAGTGGTGGATATCTGCCATGCTAGCCAAGTCCAAGTGATATCCCACCAAGATAGTGCACAAGTGCAGGACTGTCAGCCGATCCTTGAGTTGGTTGAAGGACCCGTCCACACCTTTCATCATGCTAATCCCAATCCGGGCCTTGCGAGACAGATTCGCGACAGGGTGTCCACTTTCATCTTGGAGAGGCACTCTTGAGCACAACTGCACGCATGCGAGGCATTCATTATACAGTGGAAAAGCTGGTGGAAAAACCATCTTCGCCCATGAATGCTCATCTCGCCAACGGATTTCATCGTAATACTCTGACATGCTGAGCACACGCCGCCACATGTCAAGCATGCAATGGCGCCGGTGTTTGTTCATGCAGCTCATTTGTTTGAGGCTGTGCATGGCAGACGATTGCACTCCTGAACAGTGCGCAAGTATGTTACCCGACTTGCAGTCGTGTGTGGACTTCGCACGATTCGGTGGTGGAGACAATTGGATTGCATTATGCTCACATGGACACCGCAATTTTGCTGTCAAGTTTTCTGTGGTGCAGGATCTGGCAACGGTACATAAATCACCCAACATGTATGTGTTTCCAAGCCTCAACTTCGGCCGTGCTCTTTGCAGATCACAGTCCCCCATCGTGCTGCCTCTAATGTCTTTTTTCTGACCTCTCCAAAGATAGAAGCACGCACACATGACATATCAAACAACACAACAAAGAGCGCCGCAATATGAATTTTGCAACGCAAACTGCACAAAAACCAACTTAACCATACTATAACTTCTGACACACACACAAACAGAAGAAGAAGCACGAAATCGGTTTTAGGGGCTAAACAAACAAAGGATCTTTTTTCCGGCCTCCAACTTGTCTTTTTTCTGGCCTCTGCTTGGGGCCGAAAAAAGATCAAGGTCTTTTTTTGGACCGCGGATGTCCAACGAAAAGCAGAAAAGATCGCGTGGTCTTGAAAAAGACATCTTGGGGTCTTCAGTTTGCAGTCCGAAAAAAGACACGGGGTTAGTTACGAGATGTTTCGGGGCCGAGAAAAAGACGGCTTAAATTGTAGAGTGGAGGTTGAAAAAAAGATCGTAATCTTTTTCTAGACCTCGTCGCGGGGCTGAAGAAAAGATGGAGGTCGAAAAAAAAACATGCCGGGGTCGAAATCAAGATGGACCAAGCGCGGGGTCTGAAAAAAGATATTTCGGGGTCGAAAAAAAAGAGCAGCCCGTTCCGAACAGGGAGGGACCTTCCACAAGTCCGCGAGCCCGGTGCGCTCGACTCACAAGGAGTTGAGAGAAAGCCAGAGGAAACTCCACTGGCACGGCTTGCACTTCTGCCTGTACTCCGTCCCCCAAAAGAACGGTTGCGGCTGGGCTCGGCTTGTGGGTCCATGGTTCTAAGAAGCAACCTTGAGCTCCGCTGCCACGCTTGTCGGCAAGTGAGACCGGGCGCGGACCGTGTAGTTCTTGGCAAACCGAGGTGTGTAGACTCAAGTCTGCGACAGGTGTATTGTTCACTGACGCTTTCTACAACGATCAAGCTTTAAAGGTCTGTGCCTTGCCTGGTTTAGTGAAATAGTCACCTCCAGGGACCTTGCGCTCATCAACCCTGATGGCAAGCTTACCTTGATCTAGGAGCTAGAGACCCTTGCCGCGGTTTTAGGTGCCACCCGAATCCCTAACCTTCGGCACTGTAACGTTGTGCTTTTCGTTGACAACGAAGCTTCCTTAGCGGCTCTCATCCAAGGACAATCTGATTGCCCTTTCGTGCAGTGACACTCCAGCATTGTACAATAAGGGGCAGGGTCGTCGGCCACCTCTACGCCTTTAGCTGCCAAGCACGCCTCCATCAGGCCTCTTTACAGGGTCTCTCTTCAGGAAGCGGGGGGGCGGCAAAGGGTCTTTAAAGCCCCTTTAAAGCCCCCCTTTAAGCCCTTAAGCTTCCTTCAAGCCGTTCAAGCCCTCCTTAAGCCTTTAACTCAACTTTAAGCCCCCCTTTTTAAGCCCCCTTTAAGCCTTCCGGAAAGCCCCCCTTAAGCTGCCCTTTGAGCCTTCCACGCAATCACACACACACACAAAACAAAAAGAAGAAGCCACACAAAATCGTTTTGTGGGGGAGTTTTTGCAAAGAAAATAAAATGAGAAAAGCAAACTTAATAAAACAAAACACAATTACAAGCCCCGCACGCAATCACACACACACACACAACAAAGCAAGAAGAAGAAGCCACAAATTGAGAAAAGCAGATATAATGAAACAAATGAACCAAACACAAAAGAAGAAGAAGCCACAAAGCCGCAAAAGTTCTTAGGACTTGTCTTAAGCGGTCCCTGGACCAAGCTTCGCCGTCTGCCTGCGACATACGTCGCTCGCCCCTTCACCTGTCCATCGTGTTAGTTCTCACCTCCGAGTAGTGTCTTCAATTGCTGCCATAATTTTTTGGCTTGACTGGGCCTCGTCGACTACGGCTGTAGCACTCGGTCCCTACAAACAAGCGAAACTACAAACCAAGCATCAAACTACAACAAAGCGGTGAAACAGCAAAGCGAAGCTCTACCAAGGGCTGCGGCGCACAGGCTTTGCCGGTGTTAGCCGTTCAGCACAAATTACGGAGCCTCAGCGACCGGTCAGGAGCAACAAAGAGCCGTCGCTCAGAGCTGCCCAAAACAACAGGTGGAGCCAAGTCCAGGCTCCGGTTGCCGTTCTAGTCTCGCCAGACAACGGACAACCCCTGTGTTTTGTTCCGTCACGATCGTGCACACCAAAATCCACAAGTCCAAAGTCCACGGTCGGGCGACGTAAGGTGAAGGCACCCAGGCAGTGAGTGGCCAGCCAAAGGTGACAGAAGCGGCGTTCTCGCTCTTACTAACCGCAACATATACCGAAGGTGACGCGACCAATGCCAGGCAGTGACGACGAAACTACGACAAAGCAGAGCCCAAACACGAGGCCGTAAGAAAAGCAGCGTTCTCGCGCTTACTAACTGCAACCTTGCAACCAGTTGAGAAAAGACACGGACCTAAGCAGACGCTAAGAGGCGAGCGTGCAGAAGTGACAGAAGCGGCGTTCTCGCTCTTACTAACCGCAACATGAACCGATGCGCGGCCAATGCCAAGCAGTGACGACGAAGCTACGACAAAGCAGAGCCCAAACTCGAGGCCGTAAGAGAAGCAGCGTTCTCGCGCTTACTAACTGCAACCTTGCAACCTGTTGAGAAAAGGCACAGACCGAAACAGACGTTAAGAGGCGGGCATGCAGAAGTGGCAGAAGCGGCGTTCTCGCTCTTACTAACCGCAACCTTCACCGAAATGTCACGACCAATTCGGGCGGCGACAACCGAGCAACGACAAAGCAGAGGCCAAACCCGAGGCCGAAAGAGAAGCAGCGTTCTCGCGCTTGCTAACTGCGACCCTGCCCCGTTGGGCAAAGGCACCGCCCGATGCAGACGTCAAAAGGCAAGCATGGAGGCGGGCGTCCCAGAGCCACCGATACGCCTACTTAGGCGCCTCCTGCGAAACAAGCCGTAGATTTTTGAGGCCTTGGCTATGATACCTCTTCTGCAGGTTTTGGGAGCCCTCCCCCTAGGGCTACACTGCCAAGGACAGCCGTTTGAACTTGAGAAGCTGAAAAACCTGCCCTACATCTGAACTAACCCTGTGCAGCGCCCTAAATTGTTAGAAGGGCTCAGCCAAAGGGTGGGACGGGTACCCAACCCCTACAAAACGCAAAAGATTTCGGCAAAACCTCATTTCCATTCTGCTGGGTAGCGAAAGTGTTTCGCAATCCAGTCTCGATGGTGTTGGAAGCTTTGCGGCGTATGCAGACGTCAAAAGGCAAGCATGGAGGCGGGCGTCCCAGAGCCACCGATACGCCTACTTAGGCGCCTCCTGCGAAACAAGCCGTAGATTTTGAGGCCTTGGCTATGATACCTCTTCTGCAGGTTTGGCTATACCAAGCACCACCGCTTCAGCTTATCGGGTTAGGAACCTGCCCTAAATCTTAATTAACCCTGTGCAGCGGCCTAAATTTTTACAGCCAAAGGGTGGGACGGATGCCCAACCCCTAAAAAGCGCAAAGCTCTCGGCAAAACCTTATTTCCATCAATCTGGGTAGCGATAGTATTTCGCCCCCGTCACGATGATGTTGGAAGCTTTGCGGCGTGCAGCACAGCAAGACCTGCCTCTTGACCTGTGTGGCCCTAACCTTTGCGGCAGCGCGACCTGACCTCCAACCTACCTGCGTGCATGAACAAGCCCTCCTGACCTACTTCTGGGTCGAGTGAAAGGTTTGGCCTTCGAACCTTTGGAGAAACTGCTAAGGCACCAGGGCGCCCGATCATGCTGCACAGGCAACTGAGCAGGTGACAAGGGTGGCTTTACCGGCAGGCCACCACGCCGAGCGTTGACTGCGTGAGTCTCGTCACCCAAGCACAGAGAACCGTTCAAAAGCGGGCACAACCAACCCCGCAACCGCACAAGCAAGCCCCCCCCAGAAGCTCTCTTGACCCCTACAGAGCGCCAAAGCTCTCGGCAAAACCTTATTTCCATCAAGCTGGGTAGCGATAGTATTTCGCGCTCCCGTCACGATGGTGTTGGAAACTTTGTTCTCCTAACTGTTCTCAACGCTAAGTGCAGTGCGAACTGCATACGCTCTATTTTTCCGCAGAGGTTGCTCGAATGTGCAGTGCAGAGCGAGGCATTGCTCGCAAGGGAAAGCGGCAAGCGATGCCGAGCAAACCCCCAAGGGCGTGGAGGGTGGGTGAAAAATTTCTTATGCATGCGATGCAAGAAAGCGAACACTAGTTGTGAGTGCTGGTGCCGAAAGCAGCGCGGAGCGTTTGAAGGTTTCGACACAGATAAGAAAACACAGTTGAATCAAAAACACAAACTCACAACTAGCGTTCTCCTAACTGTTCTCAACGCTAAGTGCAGTGCGAACTGCATACGCTCTATTTTTCCGCAGAGGTTGCTCGAATGTGCAGTGCAGAGCGAGGCATTGCTCGCAAGGGAAAGCGGCAAGCGATGCCGAGCAAACCCCCACTTTAGGTGCACTTCGACAACCTCTGCTGTAAAAGCCCCTCACCGCGCGAGTTGGCGGATGTACCTGGCGAGGCAGGGCGTGAGAAATGAAGAGCGTGAAAAGCAAGGCTGTTCTCACTGAAAGAGAGGAAGAGAGAGGCGTCACTCCACTCTTTTTTTACATCATTTAAGCATTGCGTGCTGAGCGTCTAGTAGCCGTTGCGGCCAAGCGAGTGCGTGATCATGTAATGTGACCCAGTGCGATGCGGATGCTAGTTGCGCTAGCGTGACTTCAACTT